AAAATCTCTCACTTCTAGCTATCGCGCTGTGACTAAGTTCCAGCCTTCAGCATCGAAAGTTTGTTTAGAGCGAGCGATATGATTGTACAGCAGGGAGCAGGTGAGCAAATTTACTTTCATTACACAAATATTTGTACTGAATTTAAGAAGTCGGCGATGGCCAGGAACCATCTTCTTCTTCATTGTCCTTCTTACCCTTCCATAACTGAGAAGAACTCATAGCTTTGCATAAATCCGTGTTAAATCTTTGTAATATTTTCAGTGTTATGTGTTTATTAATACATCATTAAGCATCTTTTTTGGTGACGTTTCCCTCTGAACTAACTCCAGTCAGCTGAGTGTCAGAAACAAGCGCTACTTCAGTTCCTTGGGAGGAAGTGACTATTTCCTATATGTACAACAAAACGCGTCCTTGTAACGAAGCCTACCTTTATCAAATCCTGAAATTATGTACAGAAGTATATCTGGAACTAGCAAAATCTATTGTAAAAGTACTTGCACAGCTTTTTGCATAGGAATGTAAAAATAAAAGTTTGAGTACATCTTGTGTTTGCAGGGATAAGCACTTTTATCTGACGCATCTCTCTGGTCTTAAAAGTTGTCTGTTCAGGTATGATTTAGGCAGCGCAGGCCCCCGAGGATTGGTTAATTGCTGTGCAATTAAATTAACAAATACTGTGATCAGACTGGAGACATATTTATATTAAGGGCCTGATCAGACTGGAGATATATTAAGGGACATCTCCAGAGCCTTGCTGATGATACCTGCTTACTGATTTCTGTTGGGCTGTTTCAGGCTTTGCTAATACCCACGTAATTGTTGGCATCTCGGACTCCCCCGCCTGGGGAGGTGGCCCAGGGTGGCTTCGTAGCCGTGCTCCAGCTTCCTGCATAGGTGCTCTTTTGTGTAAAATACTGCAATTGTCTTGGGGTAAACCATCAAAAAGGTGCTCCCCGTGGGAGCGCCCCGGTGCTCGGGGAGATGCTGCTGGTGCCGCAGTGCTCGGCATGGCTGGGGCAGCGTCACCCGCCGGGTGCACGCGTTGGCCTGGGCCTCACTTGGAGTCACTTTGGACAAGCAGCTGCGACTCTACATCTGTTTCTTTGCTGAAATCCAGTTCTTCTGCCTGCTCGGAAGATCCTCTGTGTTTTTTCTACAGTGCCTTGTGGGGTGGTGGGGGTTTGAGGTTGTTTAGTGGCTGCACTGAACCTGGTGGGTGTACACTACTTGCTTAGCATCTCTGATTTTTTAAAATAAGGTTCAAAGGGTTTTATTCATTTATGAATCAATTTAGGATAAATGGAAGCTTCATGCCACATTTCAGTTGGTACGTATAATCTCAGTAAATGGTAAGAAAGGAAAAAGGTGTAAATTGACTTTTCGCATTTCTCCATCGGTGTTGTTTGGCCAAGGACTCTTGCTGCCTCGCTTTGGTTGTAACAGGCAAGGGGGTAACGGGTAACCCATCATGTTTCTAATAAATAATATAGAAGAATTCTGCAAATGAAATGGCAAAGGTTCACCTTCACGCCTCCAGTGCTCATCACTGAAGAGAACAGTACATTGGGCTAGGATCTTAAGGCCACCTACAAGGTGGATGAATAAATCCCTGGAAAGCTAGGCACCAAAGGCAAAGTTAAGACGTGTTAAAACACGTATAGCAGTACTGCTTATCAACGGCTGGGTGAAAGATAAGCTTGGCTTTTTTCAAAATGCCTTTCAAGTTATAACGTGTTTCCTGAGCACTTTACTGCATCTTGCTACCCTCTGCACCATTTTACTGGGGCTGCTGCAAACCTGCTTAAATGAATGCTGTGCAATTTCTTGGTTATTGCTTATATTCTGTTACATGCTTATCTAATTTGCTCAGTTTATGGTTTTAGTGAAGTTAGTTGTGAGATAGCATATGCCTTGGAATTCTCTTTCTATCCAGCCATGAAGTAGTCTTAATGGAGGATCCTGTTACTTATCTCAAATAGCTTTTCCTACAGTATTTAAATATAATACAATATTTTTAGTTATGTATGACAGAAGTTAACATCCAATACGCTTATCTCTAGCGCTGTGTCCAAGCACATTTTGCTTTTTTTATGCTCTTGTCTGTTCCTTCAGTTGATTTATTCCGTGCTGTCATGGTACGATGCTTGTGTTTCAGGTACCACAGTCAATTATAGGTATATAAATTCTGTTTGACTCGTTCAGTGGTGTTTGTTGATGTGAAGTACTGCTTTTGGGGGTTTTGATAGAAGCCCAGTAAGTAATGCATATTCCTTTCCAGCTTTCTTCTGAAGTTCGGAGGCAGCAGCTGATCTGCACTGTGCTTTTAACAGGATCTTCTGCTTGATGCACAAATTTAAAAGTTTCTTCGCCTCCGCAAGGTGTCTGTGGTGTAACTGCCTTTTGTGTTAAGCATCGTGGTCATGTCACGTGGCTTGCATCCCACAGGTAGCATTTCTAAATATTATCCCCCCCCTGAAAAAAAGAAAAGGCAGTTGTGCTGGTTTTCTGGAAGCTGGAGCAGTGGGCATCCTCCTCTCATGTGAGATCATCATGTGCTTGCGCTCAACGTGATTTCATGGAGTTAATGGCAAGCGTATGTCTCAGTGCTACAAGAAAAGATAAATCCTACAGTGTCTAGAACAAAAGAAACGTCATATTTTGTGCTTATTTCAGTTACTTATTTTTATGTCCTACTTATTCCAACCTTTATCTGTTTTAGAATGGTGTGGTTCTGCATTTATATCAGATCATAGCTTGCTCCTTGTGGCATTCACTGTTAATCACCCTTTCCTTAAAACCCTGTAGTTAACCCTGAAAGTGCAAGAGAAATAGGGACCGATGCTCACTGACATTTTGCTGTTTCATCTGCGTGGAAAGCACTTTGCTGTTGCAGTAAGTGACAGGTTTGAATCTCGAATCAGCTGCAGTAGATCCAGCGGATTGAGGCTGGATCCTGACAAGGACTTGGGAGGATTCTGCTGCCTTTGGTTTGCTGGACTGTGACCCAAAGTGGTAAGAGTACGAGTTTGCCATCGCTTGGTTTTGGACGATGGTGTATGGTTGCGGTAAGAGTACAGTTTCTTTAAGACTATTGGAAATAAATAGCTTTCATGATCAAATTTAATGTAAAGGTTCTGCAGTGATATCCATCCTAATCGTTAGTGTCTTCTCATCAGCTGACAAAAGTACAGCACAGAGTCAACGCTTCCTAGGAATGTGGTGGTTGTTCAGTTAGATCAGTGGGTTTTCAACTTTGTTCACATATTGCTTGGAAAAAAATCTTCGTCTTTTGCGAACCTCTCTGAAATTGTCAGCAAACCCCAAGTTCTGTCTTGGCCGGAGCTTGGAATAAAGTTTTAGTGTTTTTCAAAGTTAATTGAAAAAACATGGCTTGGGAAGTGAAAAATCCTATAAACTGACGTTTTGGCTTCTTACCATGACCCACTTTTCCCTTCTTCCCTCCCTCTGTTTCAAAGGGATTATGTCTTTGATTCTTGATACCTTCATTCTTATTTTAGCCACTGGCACTACTTTAAATGCACATATTTTCTGGGTGAGGTCTTGGAATTCTTGAGGAATTTGGGCTTATTTGAAAAATTAGCTTGTTTATTTTGTTAATGGATAGAACATGCTTACTGCATCTCTTTGGTGGACTATGGGAAGAAGCGGCAGCTACGACTTTGTGCTGTATTCACAGCTTTGAGTAATTACTGCTGACATCTGCATGCTCTACTTGGGTTTTAGCTGTGCCGCTCCGGGTGCGTTTCTGTAATTTTCTTCCTTCTGAGGAATATGCAGGAGAAAACAATCACCCAAGTGGTTGCCGTAGCGTTTCATTAAGGAGCTTTTTCCACTGAGTTGGGAAAGGATCTTTTCCCACTTGGCAGCCTGGCAGGAGCACAAGAGCTCCTCTCGGCTCTTTTCCCTGTGTTATCATGCACCCTTCAGGTTTTGACTCCCGACTTACAGCTTTGCCCGGGTTGCCATCATTCTGAGGGTGTTCTTTTGCTTAATGGCTCTGCTTGTTCTCCGCTACACCGGGAGTGAAAGGCTTCCTTATAATCACCTCGCTTGCTCTAAAGCAGTCTGGCTGGGAACATCCAAAAGTCTATAAATATTGTGGCACAGAAGTGCTCCTCAGCTGCCTGGCCAAAATATGTGAGCAATTGAGTAGCATCGCGGGAAGACTTCAAATAAGACTGTCACAGAATTAGTAAAGAATTAATAGTTAAGGAATATATTGATATTATAATCAATACTCTGAGCATCAATGAATTCTGGAAGCATTTTCCTTTTGCATTCCTTTCTTCATGGGATCTCAAAAGCGTTTTAGGAAGAACTGAGCCACTTACAACCTGGGAAGTATTTATTTTTCATTACCATGCTAGGAAATTGCTATATTAGAAGGATTTATGCAAAAACTAGCAGTGAATCAATGCTGGGAAAAGTATCCAGATTTTTCTCCTGTATGTAAATGTTTTGGGTTTTTTTCCCTGCAAACATTTAGGCCTTGCTGAGCGACTGCCATTTCTTCTTCACTGCATCAAGTGGTTCTTCTCCCTTTCGCTGGCTGGATCGAGCAGCGTGCAGGCTGCAGCGCGGGGCCTGAGGGTATCGGTCACCGTGAAAACGCTTTGGTGCAGGCTCGGTGCTTTGCAGAGGTCAGCGATTCCTCTAGCCAGAGACCGGGGAAGAGCTGTGCTAGAGATCCACGCATGCGTACTCATTTCCTTCGTATTTATGTAGATGTTACATGTGATAGGGCATCTGGCTGGGGTGTGGTGGTCGGGTTTCAGATTTAAGTGAGACAAAATAATTCGGTTTTCTTCATATTGCTCATTCATGACAGTGCTACTCCACAGAGATTAACAAAAAGTTAATACCTGCTGATCCTTTAATGCTTTCTATATATAGGGTCTTTCATTCCTTGTAGTCTTTTAGGATTTGAAGTACAGCTATTTTGGAAGGACTTCTTTCTGTTCTTCAAAACCTCTTGTTTTAATGACAGATCTGATTCTGAGTTCTGTAATATACTTTTCCCCCCTCTTTAAAGGAAATTGCTCATTATGTTAGGCTCACTGGCAGACAGGGGTTTGCCTGCAGGCTGCTGGGGCCATCGAGTGTGGCTGGTGACTCAAGAGCCTGTATTTGGCTGTACTGGGCTGTACGTTATTGAATTTTTCTGTACTCTTAGTGTTTTTCCCCTCCTGGTCACACAGTGCTTTACATTCAACTCCCAAGGAAACTTAAGCTAATATTTAAGTAATTTTGGGGATAAATGCTATGGGAAATGACAATAATGCTTTCTGGTTATGGATGTAAAGACTGAGAACCTGCATGTTAATATTCTGTGCTGAGAACCAGTGCTGACCTTGCTGACCAGGACATGGCGATGAGATAACACACGTGAAGGGTTCTGTGACGCTGTTCCAACGTGCTCTTATGTGTGCATAAAATATTCAGGGCTAGGTACAGTGTATTTGTAGATCAGTTGCATGTTGCAGAAGTTGTTCTTTCAGCATCTCTGATCATGTGTGTATTTTCTATCAGAAGGTTTTTTTAGTTTAAACTTCCCATGGGAGTTGTCTGGACCTGAATCACTCCAGGCGATGGGTTTAGAATCCCAAATCTTCTGCTTCCTGGGAGAAGTCACCTGGACTCTACCTTGTTAAGTCTTTGGGGGCAAGGCTATCTCCAGTTTGGCAGATGTGATCCACTCGCCCATATCCAGGAGGACAGGCTGGTATCTCTGTGGAGGGAAGGGCTGTTTGTTGTTAGCATGCCCTCCCTTAACATGAAAATTCCCAAATACAGACACTTAGGAATATCTTACATTTCTTCAAGTAAATTCATTTGCCAGCTTTTTTTCACCAGACCACCTGAGTTGCGTTATGCTGGAGAGCAGGGCTGCTGTTGAGGAACCTCATGGCTCAGACAGGAGCTCCGTGAAGGTCAGCAAAGACTTTTACCAAAAGTCTCAAAATAACAAATGTGGTTCCACCTGGGCTTACCTGTTCCACGGAGGAGCTCGCGTTTATCCCTCTGTAAGTGCAAGGTTTGAGAGAAAAGCCAAATAATTGTTCTGCTTATATAGAAGCTGTTTAACCAGTGAAGCTGCTGGTCCTCTGAATTACGTGTATTCACCATGCGTTCTGATGGTGGATTCTAATTCTGGCATTGCTAGGCTCTAAATGATGGCAGTGTAAGTTGTCGTTACATGACTGCTGCCTGGAGTATGAAGTCCCAGTGTGAAAATTCAGTTGCTACCTTTCCTCACCGGGATCACTGCAGTGTCTCTTTGCACTACTCACCTCATACAATTTCTTTTTATTGTCACCTGCTATTTATTAAAAATAACACTCTCTGCTTCTAGCTACAAACTTTTATGACTCAAAGTATGAGCATCGCTCTTAGGACATTGTAAAAAGACCAATGAATATAGAAATAATATACAAAATTTAGTGTAAAGAAGAGAAAGGTTAATTAAAGGCAGGCCTGACTTCGATGTTGAAAATAGCTTTTTGGTGGAAGATAATGGTATTCAGATCACTGACTTCCAAGTAAAATCCTGCCTGTTTCTGACCTGGTTCCTCCGGCAGTTGATTTATCTTGAATGTGAAATGCCCTGGTGCATATATGGCTTTCTAAAGAGAGATTATTTCTCTGCTTTTAAATTTTCATGATTTCTGTAGCGGATACCTTCAGTACTTAAATCATAATTAATTGTGAACTGAAAGACTCTCTGACTGAGCCAAGCCTACTTCTGAAGTAACATCTGTACAGATATTTTTAAATCATGCATTTGCCACATCCCTCCCACAAGTACTGAGATGATTGTTTGGAAAGAAGTGAAGGACCAATATTTAAATGTAAACATTGTGACATTTGGCGCTCTGAAGTACTGAGAAATTCATACAAATAACTGTCGCTTCTCAAAATGTGGGAATTGCAAAATGAAGCCGTGAACCAGGGAAGAGGGTGTCCGTGCTGTGGTTGGGGTGGATGGCAGGGCTTACAGCCGGAGGGACCTGTACCCCATACGAGACTCGTGCTGTCTCTCTCCAGGCGTGAGGGCTGTTGGGGTGCACATCTGCAGCGCCATCCATTTACAACCTGCCCAAAAGTAGAGTAATTCATAGTATTTTCATCAGTCACCTTAGATTTGTGGGCTATTAATAGCGATTGACATAGTTTTTTCTAGACATGTAATGAATGGGTGATCTCTGACTTCCCATTGAATCACAGAATGGCAAGGGTTGGAAGGGACCTCGGGAGATCATCTAGTCCAAACCCCCTGCCCAAGCAGGCTCACCCAGAGCAGGGGGCACAGGACAGCGTCCAGGTGGGGGTTGAAGATCTCCAGAGAAGGAGACTCCACAGCCCCCCTGGGCAGCCTGGGCCAGGGCTCGGGCACCCTCACAGTCAACAAGTTCTTCCTCCCGTTCAACTGGAACCTCTTCTGCTTCAGTTTGTGCCCATTGCCCCTTGTCCTGGTGCTGGGCACCACTGCAAAGAATCTGGCTCCGTCCCCGTGACCCCCACCCTTGAGATATTTGTAGGTGGTGATGAGATCCCCTCTCAGCCTTCTCTTCTCCAGGCTGAACAAGCCCAGCTCCCTCAGCCTTTCCTCGTAGGGGAGATGCTCTAGTCCCCCCATCATCCTTGTTGCTCTTTATTGAGGTACTAGCATACATTCTAGGAACGGTGGAACTCAGGATGTGTTCAGACCCCTTGGTACACAATCTCCATTGAACAACTTTTTTTCACAGATCTTTGAACTACAGCTCTGGACTGAATGGTATAATTGCGAGGGAGAGGGGGGAGAAGGGAAGCCACTGAAGAAACACCTTTGTTGTCCATTGTGTGTACCAAAAAGTGTACTTTTGTTTCTGTAGTAGAATTGTGATGGTTCTTGTTAGCAAGTAGTTTCATCAGAATTCAGTGCTTACCTAAATTGTGTGTGTGAGGTTTGGTGCTTACAAATGATGAATTCTGCTGCTTTTCTCCACTAACATGCTGGACATCTACAAAACTGGTAAATGAGCATAAATTTTTTTGTTTGTTTTTCCTCAGGCAAAATACATCTCCCAGTGCATCGATGAGATCAAGCAGGAGCTGAAGCAGGATAACATTGCAGTGAAAGCAAATGCAGTCTGCAAACTTACATATGTAAGTGCCTTGCTGAGATACGACGTAATCACATCTTTATTTCTGTATTGCTGACGAGGAGCTAGTCTTCAGTCTGAACGCCTGCCTTTCTTAGACTGCGGTTTCTTAGACTGTTGTAAGGGCAGGCTGCAGATGAAAATGCTCTCACGTGTCTGATGTCAGAGGCTGCATATTCCCATTCTGTTCATTGTGCTGGCACTAGTATCATAGAATCACAGAATCGTTGGGGTTGGCAAAGCCCTTTCAGCTCCCCGAGCCCAACCGTTCCCCTACCCCTGCCATCCCACCCCCAAACCCTGGCCCTCAGCACCGCCTCTGCCCGGCTGTTAAATCCCCCCAGGGCTGGGGACTCGACCCCTTCCCTGGGCAGCCCCTTCCAGCCCCTGACAGCCCCAAGGGGAAGGAATTGTTCCCCATGGCCAACCTCACCCTGCCCTGGCACAACTTGAGGCCGGTGCCCCTCGTCCCATCGCCCCTTCCCTGGGAGCAGAGCCCGACCCCCCTGGCTCCCCCCTCCTCTCAGGCAGTTGTAGGGAGCCATGAGGGCTCCCCTCAGCCTCCTCTGCTCCAGGCTGAACCCCCCCAGCTCCCCCAGCTGCTCCCCAGCAGCCTGGGGCTCCAGACCCCTCCCCAGCTTTGTGGCTCTCCTCTGGACATGCTCTAGCAGGAGAATGTCCAGAGAATTGTATCAGTACAATTCTATTTTACTGAGATAGGTCAGGAAGCTAATCTGATTTAAAACTAATCCAATTAAAAAAGTTCTTTTCAACTGGATTGTTTCTTACCACACAGTTGCATGAGCATTTGAAACTGGTGTTTGTTTCTCTTTGCGCAGTCGAGAACAGGGAAATACCCTTAAAGAATGAATTTTGTGGTTCTGTTCTGGTTTTTATTTAAAAAAAAAAAAATCATCCAGGAAAAAAATGCTTCACAATGATGCTTTTATAAGTGTATATGTAGTACCTGGACTTAATACAAACTATTTAAAACTTGCTTCTGGTGGAACTTCGAGACTTCTTTTACTTACTGACAGTGGTGTAGAATGTAACATAAGCTTGAGGTGTCTTATAGGATTATTTTTGGACTCTTGTTCCATCTTCAATTTGCTGAGGTATCTTTGCCTATTTTTTTGAGTCTCTTATTTCAGAAGTTGGTTATCTTGGCTTCTCTGCTCACAGTTACAGATGCTGGGCTACGACATCAGTTGGGCTGCTTTCAATATTATTGAAGTCATGAGCGCATCGAAGTTTACATTCAAAGTGAGTTCTCGGTGTAACCACAACTGTACTAGCCAAGCTGTTGCATTACTGTATTTGATAAATGCGTTGGTACATCATCTTTTGGTTTGCTTGCTTCAATACAGAAAGGAAGTGGACTGCATTTATTTCTAGTATATGGATAATCCTTGACCTGCTACTATAGGCTTTTTCTACCAGATGTTTGACAATAGCTGTCAAATATCTTGTGTGAAAGAACAGGGTGCTTTTCTATGTGAAGACTGCCTAAGATTCCTAGTAGCTGCCATATTTAGCTTTATAACATTTCTTGAAATGTCTTGTTCATGCTCTATGTTGCAGACCTTTTTCACCAAATGGGGCAGAGTGTTACCTCGTAAGGAATAGTTTCCAAAGTGGGCTTTAGTACCTGAAAGTCAGGAGTCAAGGAGCGTTATTCTTGCTTTGTACTAAATGCAACACAGGCAAAATATATGTAATGTTCTCCATTTCTCTTACTGACAGTGCTGTTTTATTTCTACATCTTCGTGGTCACTGAACCTGTGTGTTCTGACAAAGGAGAGAAGGTGCAGCTGGTTTAATATCCTTAAGACAGATGTGTTATCCCTGGAGATGTTACTTGTCTGAGATTAGAAAAGGGGTTTTATAGTGGGAAAGAATAGACAACCCTGTCACATCTTTTCTGTTAGCAAGCCTCCTGTCTAATTGTTCATCTTTTTAACATTGCTCATGAAGCTACCAGTTGTTGTCCATCTAAATGTTGTCTAAACTTACTTTTAACTTTTTTTTTCTCCTCGCCTTTTTACAGAGAATCGGTTACCTAGCTGCCTCTCAGTGCTTTCACGAAGGGACTGATGTAATTATGTTGACTACTAATCAGATCCGAAAGGTAAACTTTTGACTTCAGTTCTTTATTTTTTTTCTTGCACTGTCTCCTTACTTGTATTTTCAAATCTGTAGGAAGTGGAATCTAAAGGTGTTTAAGTAGAATTCCATTTATTTGTTCCACAAGCCGAAGGATTAATGGAACACGCAAGAGCTGGCCATAGGCTTCCTCCGTGCTGTCTCATACCAGCTCCCTGTTTATTCATCTCGGAGAACGGTGACAATAACCGTTGCTAATAGTACTGGTCTCTCAGGCAGCCCTTAGAAGAATGTAATGGGTAAGAAAAATGTCCCCGTTCCTGAAGTAAAATGAGCAGTCACCTGGCTCCACAAAATTTCTGTTTGTGAGGGCCTGTTTTCTTCTGGTAACAACAGAGCAGACTTTTGACTTGTTTGGTAGAAATGTGCGTAAAAATGGTGAAGCGCACATGTAAAGTTGTACAGTTCCGATTGATGTACCGAAGAGTTTTGTATTCATTTTTATAGAGCTTTATCTCTTGAATTTATTCAGAGTTATTGGGTTGCAGGATTATTTTCATATTCTTCCTATTCTTCAAATTACAGATATATTTTTAAAACTCTTAAGTTTAATTTTTTTGAAGTATCATGCTCTAAAACTTGACTGATCCAGTACAAGATGTGCCTGCGTTTTTACCATCTAAGTAGCTAAAATGTCTTTTACTTGCCTAAAAAAGATCAGTGGGATGTTACCCAGTATCTTTCCTAAAGAACTTGTGCTTTTCCCTTTATCTTTTAAACTCTTCTGCTCTGACAAGTGCATATTTTTAATAATGTCCATCCATTTCCTTTACTATGGAGATTTTATTATACCGAATTTCAGTCACGTACTAGGCTATTCCTTCCTTTTTGTGCCTGAGTTTTAATTAAAGGCATAAATAAAGATGCTTTTTTTGTGTTTTGTTGATCTGGCAACTTGGTATTTTAAGGGATTATCAGTTCTCAAAATACATTAGAGCCAGAATAAATTGCAAAGTTTTGTTGCTCCTTAAGAAGTAGGTTTGATTATTCTTAAAGTAGAATCGAATTTCCTACCACCTGCAAGAGCTTTTAAAACGAGATGCAAATGGCCCAGAACTGTGAAGGCCTAGTTATGTTTAGCTCTCCTAAAGCCGCCTCCCTGTCCGTGTGAATTTGGACAGTTAATTCCCATAGTTCATGTGGGAATGCTCTGTGCAGTTCACTTCGTATTCTTGTTTCCTAATAACTGCAGTTAAGGAGTGATCCTGTGACACCCAGTGCTCAGTGAGGTCTGGTTTTGTAATGAATGCTTGAACATACTCAGATAGGAATATTAATATTGTTAAGAGTATGAAGCTTAGAAATACCTGAAAGACTGGGTAGGACTACGTAGGTTACTGACTACAAATAAATCCAAGGAAACTTGACCAATAAAATGTATTCTGCACCCTAGCTTGTCTTGTGTCTCCATGGACTGCAAGTTATGGTGCTGCCAGCAGCTTGGAAGGAAAGTAATCTCATTTCTCTGAGAGAGGGATTAAGCTAGGACACTGCTAAGTGCTCGACAAGAGTGCCTGTTCCCAGTGCAGTTGATGACAGTTGGGCTTTGTCTTCGCAGGGTTAGTATTTAACGTTGGTTTTTTAGGATCACGTTTGTGATCATGTCATGAGTTTTTTTAAAAATTATTTGCCATTCCTAAAATACCATTAAGGTAAGATATCTCTAATTGCTTTTATGTTGCAGTCAATGCCCATTATTAAACCCCAGGGTAGTTGTATTTTAACAGGTGTTGGAGGACATTTCTGTTAAGAGTTGATACAAATATTCCTATGAAGTAGAAGCTCTGCTTCATATGTGTTGAGTGAATAAAACTGGTCTGAGAAAATTGCTTCTTAACATCTTTTGTGGTCTTAAATTTTTGAGCCTCTTTTTCCTTTTTTAGGATCTGAGTAGCCCTAACCAATATGATACTGGAGTTGCACTGACTGGCTTGTCCTGTTTTGTTACTCCAGATCTTGCCAGGGACTTGGCAAATGACATCATGACACTGGTGAGTTGATAAGATTGAAATAACTTTTTCCCTGTAATTAAAGAATGTTAAACTGTTTGAATCTGGTAAACATCTGTTAAATTTAGAACTGTTACATGTGAAAATTGATGCTTTGTTCTTGGGGGGGCTTTGGGGAGCCTTTACAGACCTTAGTTAGCTCAAGAGCCTTGAATATTTCTGTTAGTTTTGGTGATAAATGTCAGTTTTTTGCTCTCCCCTTGAAGCTGAGTTTTTGAAAAGTAACTGAGTCTCCCAGAAAGAAATTTTGAGACAGTGGTGTGGACGTAAGGACTTTGAGCAGAATTCTGGAAACACAGACTTGCCAAGAGCCTGACTGCAATTGTTTCATTAACAGATGTCTCATACAAAGCCTTACATCAGGAAGAAGGCAGTGTTAATCATGTACAAAGTTTTTTTGAAATACCCAGAGTCCCTCCGTCCCGCATTTCCTCGCCTTAAAGAGAAACTTGAAGATCCAGATCCTGGTGAGTGGATTTTAGTAAATTACTTCTGCTCTAAAACATCCAGGTGTACAGGCTTTTAGAGCTTGCGGAGAGAAGAATACATGAAAAATGCTGTAGTCATCTTTTGGGTACTGATTCACCTGTTTAACAGGTAGATGGGCATATGAGGGTTTTGACAGACGTTGCCATATTAAAAATACATTCTTTAAAATGTCCAATTCTTGCTTCAAACCCAAAGCTATTGAAACTATGTCAGTGGATTAAACCTTAATGGGACAAAGCTACTTTATGATTCTTGGTTTGTTGCTTAATTAACCTGGCTATTGAAAATATTTCAGTTGATTTCAGGGTTTGGGGTTTTTGCTGTTTCCTGTGCTCTTTTACAAAGCCGCAGCTATTGGCTTGCAATGGATGTACTTAAAATAATTTCACATCACTTAGTGGTTTGGTTTTTTTTTTCTATTTTTTAAACTTAAACTTTGAGTCCAGACTGCTGTTTGGGCCCTTCAGTACTGTGTCAGTGCAATTCAGCTGCAGCACAGGAAATTTCCAATTGCTCTGTATCATATTCACACTTCTACTGAGTCTTCCCAGAGTGTGCTGGTCTTCCCTCACTGCACCAAAATGCTGTACACTTGTTTCAAGAATTCTGTGCGCGGGGCAGTTCTGTGATCTCCAGTTGATTGCGTGTGTGTTTAGAGGGAGAAATGTAATTGCATGTACTGGACTAATGTGGTGTGGGCACGTAAGAGGCATCTTCCAGGGACAGTGTTTTTCTAGGATGCAAAACACACACCACACCCCCTTCACCTGCAAGCAGAGGAAGAAAATGCCTGTTATGCTTTATGGAGAAAAGGACGGCTCTCCACTAGAAAACCCAGGCTATCTAGATTAAGATTCCAAATTGAGAACCATCAATTTAGTGGCCCAGCAATTTAGAAGGGAATTAACTTCTGTCAGTGTAAGGATTCATTATTTTTGTGTTGTATTTAAACATGTCTAAATCATGTGTTTTAAAGAAGCAAGAGTGGAAACTTTATGGTGGGTAGGATTATTGATTATTATGTTTGTGTCCCACAAACAAGCTATCCATAGTAAAGGGGGAAGGAGGCTGGCAGTGTCCTTTCCTTTCTAATACTGGACCCAAAGCAGATACCCAGCTTGCTGATATATTAGAAAATAGCCAAAATAAAATAAAATCCTTCCTCAGTTTGTTTTTGCATTCTTGTGTTTAGTTCACTACCTCATGGTTGGCAATGAGGCTGAACCATTCCTCTGGGACACGCAAGTCTGAATCTTCAGCTGCTTTTGTTCTGGGGGTTCTGCACCAGAAACTTCAATTACAATTAAGGCGTTGATGAGATTCCTGCTTTTCCCACTTCTTTTTCCCAGGTGTGCAGTCTGCTGCAGTAAATGTTATTTGTGAGCTGGCTCGACGCAATCCCAAAAACTACCTTTCCCTTGCTCCACTCTTTTTCAAGTTGATGACGTCATCAACCAATAATTGGGTTCTCATCAAAATTATAAAACTGGCAAGTATTCCGGATCTGTGTTTACAGGATTGGGGTTCTTAGTAAATTACCTTGGGTGTGAAAATAGATTTCTTGCTTGGAGGTACAATTACCATTGAATCCAAATAAAAAGAAACCGGGAATATCTTCTAATGTTTGTGAACATAACCAAAGGGAAAAATATTTTAATATAGCTTGGTTTAAATATAATAAGCTGCAATTTAAATCATATTTTTATACTGTTTAAAAGCAGCTATTAAATCACTTTCTTGTCTGCACTTCTTTTTTTAATAGTTTGGTGCTCTTACTCCATTAGAACCTAGGCTGGGAAAGAAACTGATTGAGCCTCTGACCAACCTCATCCATAGGTAAGTACCACAACTGTTACTTTGTTTGTTCAGGATTGGTGAACTGCTGGTTAGGTTGGTCAGTAGCTAGGTCTGCGAGTGCATTTCTGAACAACTTCTTGAGTCTCGATATATTGGCTTCAAGTATCAAAAGACAATCACATCAGGACTATTTCTGAAAAACCTGAGTGAGATAAAATAACCTTAAAGGAAATTCTTTGGGTGTCTTGACTGTCAGCTTGAATTTCTCCAAAGCATGCATGAAAATTGGAGTAATTTGCTTTCCTTTCACTTCATTTGAAGCCAGAGATGACTATGGAGGATACATAAAAACACTGGCTTTAAAAGGCTCAGCTCTTGTCTCTTCACCTGCACACACTTCATTCTTGACTGTTTCGGAAGTGCCTTACCCACCAAAGCAGCACAACAAGGAGTATATTAAAGTTCTTTCTCATGCCTTTGTCAGCCCAGACATGTTTTGGAAGAGGCTCCTTTAATATATGTCCTAAATATAGATTAGATAAAAGTGAAGATATTTCCTTGTCCCTTGTTAAAGTTGGTTTGTAGTGTTCTGTTGGATCTAATTCTGAACTGAAATCAGAAAGTAGATGTCTTAGGGGGAATACATGTATTTCCCCAGTTATAAAAAAGAAGTGTGATCTTATGCATGAGTTGTTAAATTAAAAAGTTTGTTTCTCTTCATGTGGCAGAGCAAGAAGATAGATGGGAATGAGCAAATTTTAAATGGCTATCTGTGTGCCCATGAGAGCAGCTCTAGCCAAACAGTTTCTGTCCACCCTTCTAGTACAACTTTAAGGCTGGTTCAGACAGACCAGCCAGCAGCCTTGCATCCAAATACCTAAAGAGGGGGTTTGTAGCAGTGACAAATAGATACAAATTCACCAGAAACAGTACTTCGACAGAAAAAGCAGGAAGGTGAACAGTATGTCTTCAATCCTGCCTCTACCTCCTCTCCCCAACACCTCCATTAATCATTCATTTTATTATTTGTGAGGACTTAATCCTGTTCGGTTTGGTCTCCGTTAAGTCATTTTGGCTCTCCTATCACTTACGCATAAGGCAAACCACCCTGCCATCCACCATGAAGTGCGTAGGGAGCGAAACCGATTGTCTTGGTTCTGAGCGTAGTAGAGTCACGTATGTGGCATGCTGAGTGACCTTCACGGTATCGCTTCTGACTGCTGCCTCCAGAGTTGTTTGCTCGTTACCTTTGCAGACCTTGCTTCTGGAGTCTGCTTCTTTGTTACTTGTGAGGTTCTCTGTGTTTCCCTCTTGTGTAGATCAGGGTTTTGTAAGTACCTTTGACATCCTCAGAATTGCACTGTATGTGTGTTCAACTGGCAAAAGTTGTCTTGAACTGAAGTTTTGGGGGGAATCAGACATTGAAAATGGGTTGCTTGCTGGTAGGGATGAGCAAGTGTGTACCTGCACGCCAGAAGAATCTGCTGTTTGTGCATGACTCGGTCACTTTGGAGAGAGAGACTTGAGGTTCTCCATCTGCCTGCCTTATCGTGAATTTCTGACCTTGGGCAGAGGATTTGATTTGATCCTTGGACAAGATTGCTTCAGTGCTCTGTAACTGGTACTGAGGTTTTGAGTAACCGCTTCCTTCCTCATTCCTTGTCACAGTGCTGTTACTTGCTGCTTCTCAGAGAAGATTATTCTTCTTTTATTTAAACACTGAGTAGCCCTTTCCTCCCCCCAACACTTATTGAGAATCATTTCATCTAGCTTGAAGTTACATGGAACAGAATAATGGCAATTTCTTCTGTAATTAAAGGTGTTAACTAGCGCCAAGATATTGCTGACAACTCTTCAAAATGTGCTGGTTTTATTCCTTATTTAAAATACTTGATTTCTGTTTCAGCACCTCAGCCATGTCTCTCTTATATGAATGTGTGAACACAGTAATAGCAGGTGAGAACTGAAATTTGTAACCTAGAAAAAACCATGATGAATTTTGTCATCAATTAACACCATCTGTAAGCCTTTTTTTTTTTTTTTTTTTTTTTTAACTTAATGTATTTTATAACTGAAGTAAGTTGCCTGGCAAACTTTGATTTGTGTTACTGTGTAATTGTAACTGAAATCTTTTGTTGTCAGTCAATGAGGGTAAGTTACTCAGCTATGTCGTATTTGCTAAAGGCTGAAACGGAGTACGAACTATGAGTGATTATTTATATGCAAGCTCCTAAATTTTGCTAGAATTACAAAATACACCAGCAGCTGTAGAGTTAAAAAAAGACTGCTGCCTCATGGAAACGTTGACACAGTTTTCTTATGTGATGAAGGAGGAGACTTACTTTTTAACTCCACAATTTCACAGCTTAAAAACTTGGTGTAATTCCTTAAAGGAGGTAATTGGAATCATTGATTTACAGTTTCAATTTCTGGGGAAGGGATGTGAACTCCATAACGGAGATGGAGGGAGAAACAAAAGCAAACAGGGATATCATGGTATTCCAGCTCAGACTTGGCACTTTTCGTCTCGTAGTGTGGAAGTAGAAGGTTATTGACATCCACAGCTTGGCCATTAGCCCGTCTCTTGGGGGTAGTTTGGATGATGATACAGGAACTTGCTGTCCTGGGTCAGCTCAAAGAGGAAAGGGTGATCTGTCCCTCACTTTGTATTCGTTCATTCCTTCAGGGAGATGTGAGATGACATTGTGATGGGGAGAAAAGCAAAACGGAGGTTAATTCTGTTGTGGATGAGAGTGTGCTTCACTGAGATACCCCCAGAATTATCCCGTTGTAAAAGGGAAATTCACACCCCCAGGACACCTCAGGGACTGTAATGTAAACCTCAGAAAATTCAGAAAACGAGCTGCGGAGCTGTGTGCCTGTGTTAGAGCAACTCCTTGTGCCTGCCAGCTCTTCACATGACCTGACGTGATGGCATCCAACGTGCCTTCTCCGAGATGTAGCTCTGCAGGGTTCTGGAGAGCGAAACACCACCATATTTATTAGTCACTAAGGTCAGCCTGCGTGACTTGCTCAGTAAGTGTCGGTGTTGCCATGGTCGTGCTACACGACAGCGGCAGTTAACGAGATAAGGCCACCTTTTCTGGGCTGCCAGAGCTTTACAAATGTCCAATATAATCAACAATGGGACCTGATTTGTGCCTCGAGTCTCTTGCTGGCTTGATTAAAGCTCCAATCTAATTACATTAAACTCTAGGATCCATTGCTGCATCTTGTTACGTTAGGGAAGCACACGCTTTAAAATTCAGCTATACAGTAGCTGATGACATTTACAGTCTTGACTGCTATGCGATATCAGCAAAGTAAACCTTAATGAGAGCAAAGCGTAATGAAAAGCAGCTTTGACCTGGCTGTTCCAGCAGTTCCTACCTTTACACTTTTTTTTTCCTGCCCTGCTATTATTACTCTTAAGGTGTATGAAACTATAGTTTGTGTCACAGCCTTCTCTCCTTGCCCCCCAAAAGTCCAACCAAACAGACAAACAACAAAACAAACTGACATCTTCCCTTGTGAGCTGAGCGAGCTGTTGACCTTTAGGTGTTGTTGCATTCATTCAGAACACAGAAATGTTAACTGAAATGTGTGCTTTTTCTATTTCAGTTTTGATCTCTCTGTCCTCTGGGATGCCTAACCACAGCGCTAGCATCCAGGTACAACACCGGGGTTTGATGGGAGTTACTCGTTCTGCTCTACTTTGTAATACCAGGAGCCACGGAGAAATTGGATTGGGTTCCTCTGCCAAAAGTTAAAGCAATAGCTCCCTGATGCGCTGTCACTCAGGTGGAATCCTACAGACTGAAGCATTTCCTATATAAATGCTTTTGTTTCCTTTGCTCTGAAATGCACATTCTTCTCATTTAGAGTTTTCTGAACCCTTATTCAGCTGCTACTATCAGTGCAATCATAGAGAGATTCCTTTTGATTCGAAATCTGTTAATGCAACAAGACCCTGTTACTAGAGGCCCCAGGTCTTGGTCAGAATGCTTCCTTGTGTATTGAATAAACTCCACGAAGAGTTACTTTAATTAAGACTTTTAAGACTTGTAATAAGCATGATGTGATCTTTTTTCCAGCTTTGTGTTCAGAAGTTAAGGATATTGATAGAAGATTCTGACCAGAACTGTAAGTATGTTGCTTGTCTTCATGGAAGCTTTTAGCAACCGACCACTGGGGAGAAATTGCAGCAGTGTCAGAGCAATGAGCTGTTTCTCCAAACAGCTGCTTCAGTATTGTTGTGCCTGGTACACTGCAAACAATTGCTGGGTTTTTTTAATGTGGAGATAATTTTTGATAGTGAGCGCTTCTTATAATGAGCTTTGTTAAAAAAATGAGGTTAATTATTACTGCTGTTTGTGGTCTTGTAAATCTAAACCACTTCTCCTTTGCACGCTCTGGTTTTTCCTTTTTTATAAACTTGCTGCTTGGAAAGTAGTGAGGGGTATTCTAAAACAAGTTACACTCTAGTGACTGCAAAGAGCACTGGGAAATGCTTTTTTGTGCAAACCTTTTTCCTGCCCTTATGCATTTTTCCTGTTAAGAGCAAGGCTGCTACTTAATACACTAGCCCTGTTAGTGCTTTTAAAGCTGTGTTCATCCTAGGATGCCTGTTCTCAAAACCCATAGCTTCTGTGTAAATCAGTGATAAAACTTGAGGTACAAGAAGACTGAAATGAAGAATATATATGTAATTGTATGCCTGTATATGAGATGATGAAATTAAAGACTGTAATCTGTGATATGCTGTTTCTCAATAGTTCTCTTCCTCATCATAGATTTTTGAGTGTATTAAAGTTGGTGTCAGTAAAAGCACTTGGTATTAAGATTTCATGCTCAGCACAAAGCAGTGTTTCTATATTTGGAAAGAAGTTGTATTTTGTCTTTCACAGTGAAATACCTGGGCCTGTTAGCTATGTCCAAAATCCTGAAAACGCATCCTAAATCAGTTCAATCTCACAAGGATCTCATTCTCCAATGTTTGGATGACAAAGACGAGTCTATCCGACTCAGAGCTTTAGATCTCCTGTATGGCATGGTAAGTTTCTACATGTATTTCCTTTCCTCTCCAACCCCCATGACCCTTTAAGAGGCTGATGTTTAAGAAAAACGTGCACCTTCCTCTTCCCCTCTCCCAAGTAGTCTTATGGCGATACCTCCCATATCTTCTGGCACTTAGGACAAGTGAAAGATCTGACAGAGCATGAGAGGGCTTTAAAGACTTCAGTTTAGGCTGGAAGGAGTTTCTGAGCTCAAGTGCTGTGGAAGTCATCCAGGAGGCTGCTTTTTTTAATGTCTGAGCCTTAGCTGCTCCTTCTGTCCTTTAGTCTAGGTTTAAAGTGGACCGGAGGCATATTTGGAGAGGTGTGTGCAGTTCTGTGGTGCAGCCCACGTTGCAGCCCACCATAGCTCAGGTTGACTTGAGTTACACAAAGTCTGGGAAGCAGCCTGGAGCATTCTTGTTTTGGAGGAGGAGGCAACTTCAAGCTGCTTTATCAAATTCGCCCTTCACTCTAAATTTTGTTACGCCTTTTAATGACATGTACAGAATCTCATTCTGTTTGGTCTCCTGTGTGCCACCAGTTTTGTGCATGCATTCTGCAGCCGTGCAGGGCACTTTGTAAAATGTGCGTAGGCCACAGGGACAATCTACTAATGACAACATTTGATCTCTGAAAGGGCTGAGGTTATGATTTATGTAGTGAGGTGCCTTTCACTCAAGAGTCTGTGCCCCCCCACATGGGCACAAAGACGTCGTGATAGATGTGTCTCAGAGCTTCCTATGTTAGAGGAGAAAGAGAAAAATAAGGAGGACACCTTTTGTCTGGTACTGCTCCTGAGATGAGAATAATTTCGTTAGCATTTGATCAGGACAGTGATTTTAATGTTGCAAAGAGAACTGGAGTTCATTCTTAGTTCCTGGAGATTAAATTCTGCTTGATACGTCAAGCAGAATTTAATTAATTTATCTTTAGAATTTAATTAATTTATCTTTAGTCCAAAGATAACCTAGGAGGAAGAGTCTACCATCTTGCTCAACTCTGCCTCTGAGGAAGAGTGCTGTGTAATGAATGATTGTAGAAACACTTTGATATATGTTTTTTGTTAGTGGTGTCTTTAACATGTACCTGGTGAGAGATCATAGCAGGAAGCAGTGAGTCACAACAACTGGTGATACTGAATGTTTTGGTCGCTTTATTTAGACAAATAAGTTTCCAGAGCAAGTTAATACGACTATGTTTTGAAATGCTAGAATTCTGTGGGATGTTAATGACTCTTAAATTTGTTTTGTTTAGAAGCACAAATGTTTTAAACTATGGAATTTGCTACCTGGCAGAAGTAAAAGATTCATTTTCTCCTGGATTTCTGTATTGTTGCTAGTAATTCTTATCCTCAGCTCTCCCGCAGCATGGTCTTGTACACTTGTGCTGGCTCTGCTTTAATAACAACGTTGGAAAGAAATAAATGGGTTCCTTTTTCAATTGTGACTGAAACTAAGGCCTAGAGAGGTGGTTCTGATTTCTCATTAACGCACGACACAGGTCTGTCAGAGACCTAGCAGCTGCTTTAATGGAGTTGGAAGGACTTGACGGTATGAGCAGTAGCTTAGTTTTGGTTCAACCTTTCAATAACTCTTTAACAGGTATCGAAGAAGAACTTGATGGAGATAGTGAAGAAACTGATGATTCATGTGGATAAAGCAGAAGGGACGACATACCGGGATGAGCTGCTGACCAAAATCATAGATATTTGTAGTCAGTCCAATTATCAATATATCACAAACTTTGAATGGTCAGTGGTTTTATGTGTCAACTTTGAGATCATCAGCAATGGTAATGCATGATTGTCTGCTGATAAAATTGCATCCCTTTCACTTTTTGTAGGTACATAAGCATCTTGGTGGAGCTGACCCGCTTGGAAGGCACACGACATGGGCATCTTATAGCAGCTCAGATGTTAGATGTAGCTATCAGAGTTAAAGCTATTCGTAAATTTGCAGTTTCTCAAATGGCCATGCTTCTGGACAATGCTCATCTCATAGCCAGCAACACCCAGAGAAATGGGATCTGTGAGGTGCTTTATGCTGCTGCTTGGATATGTGGGGAGTTCTCTGAGTAAGTGCAAACAGAAAGCCTGACGTGCTTTGAGCAGCTTCTTTTGGGCTAAGATTCAGGTCACTGAAAAGTATTTTTGAGAAAAGGATAGTTCAGAATATGTACCCTAAAGCTAACAAAATGATTGCTTCTTTCCCACTCCCTCACCCCATAAGGCTCCTCAGCTGTTTCTAGCCAAGACAGATACCCCACTTCAAATACCTGGTCTTTTTTCTTATCTCTCTAGTGCTGCCCACTCATGCAGGAAGGCATAGTTGTGGGTATAAGCAGTGAGATCTTAAGACATTGAAGGAACTCCTTAACCATTAGGTCTAACCCCACTTATACCATAGGGAAAATGCCCCAATTGCCATGTTTGACTGAATTAGCTTAAATAGAAGTTTTCATCTCTTGGTTGTGTGTGCGTATACACATGCTTCCCTGGCTTTCATTTTGGTAAGTTGGACAGACCACTATACTGTAGTCTCCTTTTATCATCTGGTTTGGTGTCTCTTTTTGTAATTGCTACCCTGAACACTGGTTCCAGTTTAAATTCACATAGTAGGTGTGATATTTTTAGGGAACACTGATACGGCTCATATTTTCTTTTAATTAAGAGAGTTCTGCAAAGAAAACTGTAGATTAAGAAGCAAGAGAACATACTCTCCTTTTTCAGTTTGATCACATTTTTACTTTGAAAGAAATTTCCACTCATAACAGACCAGTAACTTTTTTGTGCATCTTCCATTTAGTCGTGAGCAGACAGTTTTGAATAAGAGCATGAGATTTCTTAAAACAAGTGTTACGATCTGCATTCTTTTCTGCATGTTAAGCATTACCTACTAGATTTTATTTTTGTTCAGTAAATGGTTGGAAGTACAACCTCACTGATGCGAGTGGGGGAGGTACAGAATGGCGGGGAGGTAGTTGGGCTGCTAGATCCAGGCTGTCGATGAAGTTGGCACTGAAAAGTGCAGTGCTTAGTTAATGGAGAGAAGATTGAGCTTGTAAAGGTGGAAACTGAGGTGTCCTTCCTTCCCCTTCTGTGAAAGGGTAAAGCTGTAAATTCTTCTGTGCCACGTTACTACTGTAATTTGGAAGGGGAAAATAGGCAGAGAGCAAATGGTTATGTATTTGTAGTCTGTCCTGTCTTTCTGCAGCACTTTGTACTGCAACTGAGGTTTTTGAAAAATTCTTCTCCACGAAGACTGATGAAATGTTGAAATCTCTCAATTGCTGTTTTTCATCTGTCCACTCCGTCTTTATAGACACCTCGAGGAAGCAAACCAAACCTTAGAAGCAATGTTGAGGCCTAAAGTTACAACTCTACCAGGCCACATCCAGGCAGTTTATGTCCAGAACATGGTGAAGCTCTATGCATCCATCCTACAGCAGAAAGAGCAATCTGGGGAAAAGGAAGCAGCTCAGGAAATTACACAGCTGATGATTGAGCGTCTGCCTCAGTTTGTACAGAGTGCAGATCTAGAAGTTCAGGAGAGGGTAAGAGCACAAAATTACTTTGGAATTTATCATACAGAGTCTCTCATTTGTCTTGGAGCATATGTAATTTTCTGTGGACAGGGGCGTTTTATATAAGCTGGCGTTATCAATGGAGTGGTGCGTTTAATCTGTACTTCGTGTAACTCGGTGAAAAAGAAGCTCTAGAACTATAGGACTGGGAAGAGTGGTGACATTTCATGTCAGAGCCCAGATCTTACTCCAGTTTGATACTACCTCTGAAGCCTGCTTGCAAGAATTTCACTCAAAACAATTTAATTTTAGAATTCTGCAAGCACATAAGGACACAGCTAGAAGAGAGGGTTAACATGGATGTTTTTACATTTGCTCTAAACCTGCAGTTACGCTACTTCCCTTAATCCCCTTAACAGAGTAGAACAGTTATCTCCTGCTGGCGTTCATTGCAGTTGATTTTTTTTTCGTTCTGTTTGTTAATATTAATCCTGAAATTATTTCTGCATTTGTTTTTAGGCTTCTTGCATCTTGCAGCTAATAAAATATATTCAGAAGCTACAAGTAAAAGAAGTTCCTGTAGCTGAGGAAGTAATAGCCCTGTTTGCCGGTGAGCTGAACCCTGTGGCTCCTAAAGCACAGAAGAAAGTACCAGTTCCAGAGGGGTGAGGTTCCTTCTCTCTCCCAAAGCCTTATTTAAACATTTAAACTTTTAAATAGTAAAGCTAAGTATATAGTGAGAAGCACTGAAATACTCAGGGGTACTGAGTCAAGCTATTTGTTTCTTTACTGCAATTCTTGACAGCTTGGACCTTGATGCCTGGATCAATGAACCTCCATCAGACAGTGAGTCTGAAGATGAAAAGCCCAAAACAATTTTTCATGATGAGGAGCAAAGGCATCCCAGACATAGACAGCCAGAAATAGATGAAGAGGAACTGGCCAGAGTGAGTGAATGTTAAAATGCTTTTCCTTACATAATTCAGGAGTAATGTTGTAAGTGCTACTAAAGCAGTTGGAGCTGTTGTGGATTCTCCATGTAGCCAGGGAGCCATTCTGCTCTCCACAGCTCAGGAAGTCTGATGATTTGATGTGAACAAAATACACGTATTTGAGTACAGGTATTTTTTTAGGCATTGTGGAATACATCCAATAAAACTTCTCCTGGAAGCCTAGCTTGCCTACCTTGTCCGAATGGAAGCAAGATATTATAAAAAAATTGGCCCTTGTTAGGAGTTTTGAGCTCTGGTAAAAATCTGACCTGTAAACTGGTGTGTAGTGCAGTTCACTTCCAAGTACAGGATCTTGAGGATGGACACTTGTGCTGAGCTCTGCAATTATTTTACATACCTTCTCTATTGGTGTACTTCTGTTATTCTGTGTGCTCTATATTAGCAGAAAAAGCAGCAGGATTTTTGCTCATGGACTTTAGCAGCTTCTGTGAATCACTGTAATGTGACTGTTCTCAGCAGTGATACCACCTTTCTTGCTTTGGACCATTTTGTTTTCATAGAGGAAACTTTCTGTTGTTAAGAATCTTCACTTTTCCTCCCTTTGCAAACATGAAAATAGAAACATGTGAGTTGCCATCAAATTCTAGCCCTCAAAAGTTACTCTCTCCAGTCCAGAATTAAAAAGGAAAGAAAGGATGTTCTAAGAAATATTAGTTATAGTAGTAACAGTACTTGTAGTTACATCCTAGTATGTCTTGTGACTCAGAACTGGTTTATCATTCTGAAGCTACTATGCTGTAGTCTTTTTGCAAGTAGTTACGCATTGTTCCAAAAATTCAGGGAGATTGCATTTTGCACTTTGATGCCTTTTATCTCTCCTTGCTTATAAACAAACATTCTAACTACAAATCCTCTTTTGCTTTCAGCGTCGAGAAGCCCGGAAACAAGAACAGGCAAACAACCCATTTTATATTAAAAGCTCTCCTTCCCCACAGAAGGTGAGCGAGTCTGAATTAAAATCTCTTGTTGGCCTCTCATATAATTGTGTGAAGGCTTGCTGAATGTCAGAGCCACAGCTTCCCTCTGGGACATTCTGATTATTTCCACTGTAGTTCCAATCACTTAATAGCGTGCCGATTGGAGCGGCTAACGACAACTATTTTTGTAAGTCTCGTTTGTGTTGAGAAGCTCACAAATGACCTAATATCACAAAAGCAGCCAGCTTTCAGTGAATCTCTGGTGGACCTCCAGTGTAGAATGAAGAAAGTGGTAACTGTTGCAGCTCCCATTACAGAGTGGTTTGGAAGAATCTGGATGAACTTGTCATGGAAAACGCAGTGTTTATACTTCAGCATGGACTCTGTAAAAGCTGCAGAGAAACACTTCTTCCCTGTGGCCCGGCGTCACAAATTCCTGTGCAGTTGGTTTGTCCCAACTCTGGGTGATGGAACTGCCAGGCACTTCATTAAGAGCAACGAAGAGAGAGTGAACGTTGAGCATGCAGTGTGTTTTATGGATCAAAAGGTCATCGTGGTCTCACCTTTTTCAGGGAAAGAACCTGCTTTATTCCCTGTAGGATATAGGGGGAATAGGACTGCCCCATTTTCCTCAATTCAAATCTCAAAATTTGTCTTTTGAAGTGGCAAGTTGTTAGTAATAAAACACAAACCAAAAATTCTTCAGAGAGTTGCAACAAGCCTTTTTCAGGGCAGTAATAGGGTTAAAAAAGCTGTGGCTAAAAGTAGGGTCTTTTATAATAGTTTTCAGCTGGCTTTAAAATCCACTCTGCTACCACACAGGATTTAGGACTGAGCTATTCCATTCCTATCCTTTAAAATGTTCACTTAAAGGATTAAACTGCTTGATGTTTTGAAATCTGTCTGTTCATATAGATCTGTATCTGGCAATGCTCAGAATGTAACACATTTTCATTTTTCCCAGCGATACCAAGACACTCCAGGTGTGGAACATATACCCGTGGTCCAGATCGACCTTTCTGTCCCCTTAAAAGTTCCAGGTAAGTGCAGCTAATCTTAAAAATTAATTACAGAAAATCCATTAAGCAAGAGTAATAATTCCTTCTTAAAGGTTTTTAAGGGCAAGGAGCATACTTTCTTTAGACTCTTAAATATATCTCCTTAACTTACATATGTTTGAAAATAGTTCTTTGCAGTCCGAGAGCAGTTCCTCTCAAGACAGTATTAGAAGTAATTCTGTAATTAAATATATTGTGCAGCCGGGTCCGTAACATGTAAACTAACCCCTGTTCTGTGTAGGTAACAGTCACCTTTGGAATGTCTTAAAGGGCTGATGAAGGTGATCAGGAGACATTAAGTGGAGTCTAATGGTAGAGATACTATTTTAATATCTTGTTTTAAAAATCGGAAGGCATTTGTGTATCTAATGAGCGGTTTGATATAGCACTGAAAAGCTGTTGGTAAAGTGCAGTGCATTGCAAGTGATGAGTCCTAAGTGCAAATAGTTAAAGCTTACATACCAAAGTTTTTTCCAAAAATGTGGAAAATTGTCAGTATTAGTACAGCAATGGCACCAATTCTATTTCAAATACTGATGTTTAGATGCTCTCTGTAATCCAGTTAACGTGGAGAAGAATCAGGGAGCAGGACTGAGCTCTGTCCTATTTCTGGGGAGGTGGAGAGTGATAGCAAAGCTGGTGTTAGAGGGGCCGTAATGGGAGATGATAAGGAAGCAGAGAGGTGGTGTCCTCCTCATTCTGAGAAGCTGGAAACAAGCTTCACGCCTCACATAGTGCTTCAGCGATCAATGTCCATGTGGATCATAGCCTGAAAGCAGTTTTCCTTCCTCTGCAGAAAAAACAGTATGTGAAACTGGAAGAAGAGCGAAGACATAAACAGAAACTGGAGAAAGACAAGAAAAAGAAAAAACAGAAAAAGGAGAAGAGAGGTAAACATCATCGCCATAACTCTCTACACACGGAGAGCGAGGAGGATATTGCTCCAGCCCACCATGTCGATATCATAACAGAAGAGATGCCAGAGGTCAGTTGCTTTGGTGGTCTGAGTCGTGGGGTTTATCTCTGTGTTCTTGAAGGACTTTTCCTCAAGAATTGCCAGCCAGTCTGTATTGTTGCAGTTCAAGAGCTCTGATTTCTTGCAAAGCTGTTTAAGAAATGACTGATTGAGATGGTCCTAGGCTGTTCTTTGCAGGGGAAGAAATAATTGTCTTTTTGTGCGCAAAAAGACAAAAATTGCCACTGAAGCTATTAAAAAAACCAACCAAAAAACCCCCAACAAAACAAACAATATGCATCTCTGCTATAAAAGTAACACTGTCCAAATAGTTGCTTCATTTATTATGCTCTGCTGCTTCACTTTGACATTAACTTGCTGTCTAGTCAGCAGGTTTGCAGCTGATCATAATTAATTGCGCATGCTAATGATGTAATCTGTATTTGTTCCTAAAATTTCCTTTAATCAAAACCCAACAGTGGCAATTCAAATCCTGCAGTTTATGAAGAATGGTTTCCTGTTCTAAATTAATCTTGTAACTAGATGCTGTATGAAAGTGCACTGTTCCCGTAACTTATTGTGCCTGACTGCAAGCTGGCCTCTTCCAGGGTTAACAATCTTAAACGGCAGGTTTGGGTGATGTAAAACTTTAGTTGCAAAGTTGCCTGTGGTTTGCTTCTTCAGTGGATGCTCTCTTTATCTCTCCCGCAGAATGCTTTGCCCAGCGATGAAGATGACAAAGATCCCAATGATCCGTATAAGGCACTTGATATAGATCTGGATAAGTAAGTGACGGTTTGGAATGTGAATTCACTTAATTCCTAATCAGAATGCGGGAGGGCAGGTCTGGGACTAAGCAGGCAAAGACGCTGTCTGCAGTCCACTAGGTGGAAAGACTGAGTCGCCATGGCTTGGATGGAACCTTAGATGATCATACAGGCTTGGGTTCCCATGCAGCATAGATGATAAAAGCTAAGCTGCTGACATCGTGGGGGTTTGGGGATGGGCAGGGGAATCCTTTTGTGTGACTGGAGTCTGAAAGCGCAGGCAGTGTAGCTGGGATCAGACATGAGAGAGTTAGCCTGAGCTTTTGAGTGTACCAGTATCCCTCTGATCTGTCCTTCATTGGCACTGAGTGTGACCGGCATTCATCTGTCTTCATCTCGGAACCACTGTGCACATAGCAAGCCCCTGCGCTCTGCGTTGCAATCACTTGACCAGTAACAGCCAGTTCATAGCATCCCCGTTGCCCTGTGGATATTCAGTGTGGTTTCATTGTTGAAAAATGTTCTAATGTGATTGAGTGAACTGCATATCGTAACTTTGACCAGAGTCTGGTCCCCATTCAGCTACTGGTGTTGTTTAGAGTTCTAGCACCCCAGGCCTCAGCGCAGCAGACTCTGAAGCCCTGCATGCCATGTGAGAATTAGCAGTGGGCCGTTAAGTATTGCACATGGAGATTTTATTTTAGTTGCTGTTTTACAAAATCACCACGCTAAAAATAATTGCTGATTTATGGTCCGTGGATGCCTCCTGTAAAATTGCGAAGACACTGCAGGCACATGTGTGCATGTGTAGTCTCTCTCTCTCTCTCTGATACTTAATTTTAAAGTCTGCATTTCTTGATATCTGCAGTTCTCAAATCTGTAGGGGTTTGGCCCCTCGGTACCATGCAAAAAAGGGATGTACATTTTTAAGAAGTGAAAAAACAGCTTCTGAAAAACTTCCTTTTTTCATGAGCTGGTCACATTCCTCTGAGTCTGCAGGGGACAAATGTATAAAAAGAAGTTAATTTCTGACTATAGACCTTGTATTTGGATGACAAGGCTCAACAGCGTAGCAATCGCTGAGCAGAGCAGCTTCTGAATGCTGTGCTCCAGGAGGTATCCCTGGACTTTTGTATAGTTTCCATCCATTTTCTTCCCATTCCATGTGAGTCGGTGTGCTCTACGTTTTCTCATGTCTCTGTCCTCTCTCTTTCTTTCTGTGCTTGCACTGCTATGTCTGTGTCACGCTCACATGCAGTCTGGTTTCAGGGAAGCCTTCCAGGTAAGAATATATTGCTAAGTGCTTGACCTTCTTTGTTAGGTTGGTTGAATTCAGTGGACAGCGTAAATACTTGAAGGGTGGTGAAGCTATTGAAATCGCTGTGTGACTTTCAGCACCAATCCCTGTTCCTGTACAGCTATATGTGAAATAGCTTAAGGATGAGATCTGTTTACTGTTCAAACAGATGGGATCCCTCTTGCCCTTACGGTGTCTGTTCAAAAAATGAACTGGGTCTGGTTCTTCGTACAATATAAGCAAAAAAATTAAGGCAGGTGAGAGCATTAGAAGTCTTCCTGAACTGATGTTTGCTGCTCAAACATGAAAATGAATGTTAAGTAAAAGCTGTAGAAATAGAAAAAGGAGCAATCAGTGAACTTCTTACTGGTTTCTGGACAGTGTTTGACAAGACTGGAGATGTTTCTGTGGTGTTTTTTTTTCCCCAAGTAATGGATGTGGGATACAGTGTAAATCTGAACCACTGCTCATGCTGTTTAGAAACAGGTATCTGAAATTAAATGCAACTTTTTACATGTAATGGTAGAGTACAGATTCATAGCATAAACTTCCAAAATGAAACAATTTATTGCTTAAAATAATTTCTAATTGGAGTGATCTATTCATCAATAGCAACAAAACCCACGCCCTTCGAGGGCTGTTTGAGCTATGCTATCAGTCCAGTGCTTGAATTTCCACACTGTTGCAAATGCTTCCTCCTGTTTCACACCTTTGCTCGTCCTTTGAGGGTGGGTCCACAGAAATGCAGCGTAGCACGATATGTATGTATTCTCCTGTAGGTGTTAGCCTGCAGGTCTGTACTTACCACTTTGAAGAGTGATCAGGTGTCAGCAAGAGCTTGGCTCTTGGTCACCCTCAGATTGTTTCTATTAACTTCTAATTCACGAGAGCAGTATCTGTGCTTACATAAATAAACCAGGTACAGAAGTATGTGCCAATTTAAGATTTTTGGGCCCAAACTCTTTAAAAACAAAGCATACCTTGTCTTGGATGTTCAGCAGATAAACTGAGCTAAGGGAGACTGCTTGTAGAAGAGTAATGGTCTCTTTATTTTTAAGACCCTTAGCAGATAGTGAGAAGCTGCCGGTGCAGAGGCACAGGAATGTTGAGACCCTGAAGTCACCGGACTCGGAAGCTCCCCTAGTAGAGAAGAGCAAGAAACCCAAAAAGAAGGAAAAGAAACACAAAGAAAAAGAGAGGGAGAAAGGAAAGAAGAAAGAGAAAGAGAAAAAGGTAGTAGAGGAGGAAGAAGGAAAAAAGGTAATTCTCCAAGACTTGCATTATTTTAGAAACTGCTGTTATGGGCCATATTTATTGCTGCATTTTGTTTGTTGCTTAGGAACAGTCACATTTGACAATTCAAGCAGCTGAATGTTTTCAACTTTTACTTCCTTAAATTTTTACAAACGTAAGAGCAGGTATTTAAAAATTTCTGTTAATAAAAATAACATTTACATAGCCTCATAAGTTAGCAGAATTCAGCTAACTGCAACCTACACAGCAGATCTTCCAGATCTAATTCGGAAGCTGAGTTTACTGTTCTCAAAATGGGGAACTCCTTAGCAAAGTATCTGGGAATTCACTTTTGTTCTACATCCTGTCGCCTGTATACTTCAGAATCCTTCGGTTATAAAAGCTGACGTTAGTTGTCAGTTACTCTGAAGACTGGAAGTAGCCTTCTTGTTAACCACTCTGCGGAGATGCAGGTTTCCTCCAAGATGCAGGCAATGTGCTTTGAATGCCCTTAGGTATTGTGACACGTAGGGTAATTGCAGTTCCTGTCAGCTATGTCCAGGTTTGGATGTGTGCTCAAAGGCTGAGGTTAAGCTTCTTGAACTGTTTGCTCCCAAATGTATTGCAGCATCCCTGTATGAGCATTCTGGAGCGATGCATTGCCATGAAAACTTAAGGTTTTAATTCAATTGATTGATTTTATTTATTTTTTTTAAGAATGGTATCAAAACAAACTATCATCAGAGGAGAGCAACCAAGCAGGTGAAGGGTCTGGAGCACAAGTCATACGAGGAGCGGCTGAGGGAACTGGGGTTATTTAGTCTGGAGCAGAGGAGGCTGAGGGGAGCCCTGATCGCCCTCTACAACTGCCTGATGGAGGCTGTAGGGAGGGGGGGGTCGGCCTCTGCTCCCTGGTAACAGATGATAGGATGAGGGGGAATGGTTTGAAGCTGCGCCAGGGCAGGTTTAGGCTGGACATTAGGAAAAACTTCTTCACCGAAAGGGCTGTCAGGCTCTGGAATGGGCTGCCCAGAGAGGTGGTGGAGTCCCCATCCCTGGAGGGATTTAAAAGAAGGAGAGATGAGGTGCTTAGGGACAGGGTTTAGTGGTGGGATGGCAGGGTTAGGTTAAAGGTTGGACTCGATGATCTCAAAGGGCTTTTCCAACCAAAGTGATTCTAGGATTCTATGATTCTATGATCATGGTGGTGTTTTCTCTTGAAATTCAGGGGGAAGACTTGGATTTCTGGCTCTCCACTGCTCCACCACCTGCTTCCACTACCCAGCCACAGGTAGACATCTTACCACATCACAGGAAACTTTTCCTTACGACTGATTGCATCTGAGCTGTGATGCGAGTGCTTTGTCATGCTGCAGGAGAGAAGGGGAAGATAGGCTTGGTCTCCTCAATTTATTACTGTGAAGCAATGACATTTTATCTCCCCAGTTTATGGACACTGTAATGGGAGGTTTCAAGCTCACTCTGCTGTGCAGATCAATGGGTAGAAATACAGATGCAGCTACAGGCTTGGTGGATTTTAATATTATTGGTGGGGTTTCATATTGTATTATTAGTGTATGCTTTGTTTCCTACGGTGAGGTAGACACTAGTAATATTAATAGACATGAGAGAGACAGTCTGAAAGCAAGTCTCATGAATTTTGATGGGAGATTTTAGAGGAAGAGACAGGGAATATAAGGGGAGGGATTCCTTGGAGGAAATCTTCTGTATCTTGTCCTCAAGTGATCTGTATTTTCTGGGTTTCAGAAGAATAAAATGATACCATGTTAGTCTAATGTAATTTTTTAAATAACAGTTGGGGGGGGGGCGGGTGTGCTGTGTCTCACTGTTAAGATTTCTTCTGGTGTGGTATTCAGTTGTTTCAACTGCATTCCCTTAGTGACATAATCCTTCTAATCCACTCAGAGCGAGCCTGAAGTGGGTGCTGCTGTTGTGGCTGAACCTCAAGAGGTAAAAAAGGAAGAAAGGGAAGAGCGAGAGGAGGAGGAGGAGGAGGAGGAAGGAAAAGTAAGTGGTTTAAGTTGCTGACACCCTTAGCCGTATTCTCCTAGTTTCTCGTATTCTTTAAAACGAAGCACACAGGAATTGCCAACAGCATCCTGTTCAGTGTAGTGACCACCTGCAAATAGGCAGCAGCGCAATGTTATGTCCTTGAGGAGCTCTAAACACTTCATAGTAAGAGGTTTGGTTGTTCCTTGAGCCGAGGGTCAGGTAAGAGTTTTAAAGCTGAGCTCCCAAACAGTTTGGAAGAGATTTGGGCTTCTGCTGATCCCAGGCTGCTTTGGGTTAAGGCATTGTCATCTGAGTGGGGAGCAAGGGTTTCTTGGGACTCCACACAGAATGACAATTGGGATTTAAGGAATGGGACCTCTGTTTCTGCAGCAGTAGTTCAGGCATCCAGAACACTGCATAGAGTGAGAGTCTGGAGTTGAAAGATTGATAGAGGGGTGGTGATGTAATGGCTGGAAATACAGGGTTTCTTTTAAGGGTTTGTTGTAGTTTCTGGTTCTTCTTGGTAGAAATCCTCCAAGCATAAGAAGAAAAAGCACAAGAAAGAGAAAGAAGAGAAATCAAAGGATAAAAAGAAATCCAAAAAGAAGAGTCATCACAGCGAGGAGGAGACAACAGAGTCGGTGCAGAATGGAACACTAGATGATGAACCACTACCGGTGAGTAGCCATGCGCTGGCAGCGCTTGCCTTGGGGAGAAGGCAGGAGCTAAACTGTTTTGGGTGGCAGGAGAATGACAGCTCTTTTCAGACAAATTGGTTAGATTGGAACTGTGATTTCTTTTTTGCTTTTCAGCCTATGTCCAGTTACCGCCTTCTTGCTGAAAATCCATACATTAAAATGGTGAGTTTTTTGGCATTCAAATCCAGAGTTCTTCACTTTGTGCTCTCTCAGAAAAGAGGGGATACCCTGGGGATAGCATAGCAACTTTATGGAGACAACATTTGACTGAAGAACTGTTTAAATCCCAGGAAGCAGAAACATAACAAAGCACCATTCCCATTCCTTCAGATGTCCCACTCAAGAAGTTTTTAAGCTGATATTTTCCCACTACTTAGCAGTACTGTGGAGCTGATCACTACTGTGCTTTTCATTATTCTATAGCTGTACGACCAAATTACCTTCTTTTTGAAGCTTGCTTTATTCTGATGTTGGGTTCTGTTCTGGTGCTCTGCTCTTTGAAGTTTCTGAATCTTTCCTGTGATTTTCTTTTTTTTTTTTTTCTTCTTCATTTGCAGACCTACGATATTCAAGGAAACCTCCAGAATGATAGTCAAGTTACTGTCTCTGTTATCTTTGAGAACAAAAGCACTAGCTTCCTTAAGAGCATGGAACTAAATGTCCTGGACTCTCTCAACACTAAAATGCTCCGACCAGAAGGAGCGTCAGTACACGATGGGATACCTGTACCCTTCCAGCTACCCCCTGGTATGCGCAGCTTTGCACAGGGTTCTTGGAGTATGTCTAGTCCTGCACTGCCCTCCTGTGGAAAGAATTGTTTGAACTTCTTGCTACTTGTTCTTTTCCAGAAAGACATGTCCCTCTGCCTGGGTGTTCACTGGGCTTTCACACAATTCACTGGAGAGGATAAGCCTTCTTACAGTATGGCTATAAACACAGGTGGTTCTGTACAGCAAGAGCAAGCCTATAATGTAGGGCTGGGAGTCCGAATGTCTGAGTTCCTTTTTCAGGTGACTGCAGGCTGGCACTACCTTTGAATGTGCCAGCATCACCGGCTACAGGAATCCAAAATTCATGAGGAGTTTGCTATGAGATTTAAAATGAAACAAAGTTATAGGTTTGTGAACCATTAGAATCCGCTCTGGATTTATTCTCAAGCTATTGTTTCCATGGCAGAGGCCATATGCAGTGAAAGTTTGTGATAAGTATGTGCTCATTTGGATGGGGAGCTGAGCCCTTAAGAAATACTAGACATGGAGATGAAGGGTAAGGGCTTCATACATAGTGCAGTAGTACAGTCGAATCGCTGAACTTCTTTGAATTGCATTTCCTTCATCAAAGAGTTAATTTGAATACTGCTCGCAAAAGTCTTCTGGGATGTAGTGGCTTCAGGGTGCATTTTGATCCCCCATGAAAAGCAGTGGGGTATTTTTTTTTTTCTATATAATGCAGTTCCTGACACAGACTTGTCTATTAAACCAAAACCAGAGAAACATTAGGATTTGCATTCATTCTGGAAACTACTTGAAAAGCTGTATATTTTCCAGTTATACAAACAGTTTAAATATATTGCCACTGTGACGTACTTTGCCCAGGCGCTTACTCAGTAACCTCTACCAAATGCCAGCCATCGCTGCTGCTTTCCAGAGACCCAAGAGCTAAGTGCTGTAACACTGGTAATTCACACCAGGAATTGTCCATATAACCCTCTTCCAGCTACGTGGGAAACTTCAAACTTGGTTCAAAAATAGTACATAAAGCTTAGCTGCTACTGATGGGTTTATTCTAACCATTACTTAGGTGTGGAAACCATTTTCTGACCTGACTTCTCCCTCTCCTCTCTTCATGCTAGGAATCTCTAATGAAGCCCAGTTTGTGTTTACACTTCAGAGTATTGTTATGGCTCAGAAGTTAAAAGGAACACTGTCCTTTATAGTCAAAGTAAGTGCAGCTTTAAACTCTGTGCTTCTGCTTCCTTTGGAACTGCATAAGGGAGCTTGACACGGGTGGAAAGCACTGCTTTAGAGCTTTTCTTAGGCATCATTTCATCTCTGCTGCACCAACCCATTCTGTGATGTGAGAAGTATTTTTACATGACATCTTGTGCAAAGAGCGTCCCAAATACTGCGTAAGCATGTCCTAAATTGTCATTCCTGGCAGTGTGTGAGCAATGCAGCCTGAAACGTATGCCACATTGTCAGCTAGAAAATCACTGCAGTGGTGCATCTGCCGGGGCAAGGAGATCAACCGTCTAGCAAAAGATGCAACCCAGAGTCTGTTTCTTCTGATCTCTGTTATCCAAAGATCAGTTGGACGCTGGTATCTAGTACAAGGCTGGAAAAATAGTAATAAGAATTAGAAACAGTGAATAAGGATGGAAACCCAGAACAAGAGTGAGGTTAGCTGAAGGCATTGTTTAATAATATCGACCGGTATAAGACTGTGTGGGTTTCTAATCTTATTCCAGTAAAATTATTAATGAAGGAGCTGCACAAAACAGCTCGAAGGAAGCGAATGGAGACAGTTGTGGCTACTTCTGAGTCGGCCATTATCTCTGTTTAACTTAAAAATAATATACTAGTCCTATTTTCAATACCGAAGAATCTGGAATATATTAATTTATTATTTTGCTAGGGCAGTAGTGAACTGCAAAACCACATCTCCAAGCGTTAGTTTAAATTCAGCCTGCTCAATGTATTTCAGCAGAGTGCAATAAAAAATGCAGCCAGACCCCTCCAGTTGTTTCCCGTATCTGCTCAAGGTGTATGTATCAACCTAGCTGCCCAAATCTTTTCTCTGAGTGGCCTGATGTTGTAGCATGATGGTTGTCCTCAGACTGATCCTTCAGGCCCAGCCAGGGTATATCAAAGGGAATTGAGCCCTAAAGTCTTCGTCGGTGCCTGTTTGGTAGGTGGGGGTGGTGCCTCCTCTTGCTGCCTCGGGGCTCCCATTCATCTCCTTTCCTTTGACCTGTTGCAGAATGATGAAGGTTCAACCCATGAAAAACTAGATTTCAAATTGCACTTCAGTTGCGCTTCATACTTGATCACGACGCCTTGCTATAGGTAAGTGCCATTTAGGGAGCACAACATTGGTGCTTTTGCCGCCCATGTGAAGCTGAGCTTTGGCTGCAGGCCATCTCTGCAAGATACGCAGCATGCTTTTGACTTTGGCTGCTTGTGATTGCTTTGGTTACAGTTCAGTTATCTTGTGTAATGTTTGACTGTTCAAATATGTCCAGCAACTTATTTCAAGTGATTCTGAAGAAGGAGCTATAGGCCCTGTAGGCTGGCAGAGGTCATGTGGAAGCAGCTCTGGTTGAGGTCATAGGGTACTCCAGTGGAGTCTGGAGTGTGGTTTCCGTATTTGCTGTAAAAACCCGTTTTCCTAGAGCTTGGTAGTACTTAGACTTCTGCATCCTGAGATGTCTCAAGGTCTGCATGGGGCTAATGTGGCAGATTTCACTGGAATTTCTAGCACAAGTGTTTACTTTCCTTCCTGTTTTGCAGCGATGCTTTTGCCAAGCTCCTAGAGTCTGGAGATCTGCACATGAGTTCTATTAAAGTAGACGGAATTAGCATTTCTTTCCAACATCTACTGGCAAAGATCTGTTTTCATCATCATTTTTCAGGTGAGTCTTCCTCGGTGCAGAACCTTCTGCAAAACTCCATATTCTAAAATTTCTGCTGTGCTTGGCAAGTGCAACACTCCGTGGCCTCAACAATGACAGAAGCAGGTGATGCTGAGATTAAATAAATTTGGGAGAGGCGTTGTTTCCAGTTTTGTAATACGTTGATATTCTCAAAGCATGCAAGGTTCTTCAAAATTAACTCTCCTTCTGTCCCTGTGGCTTTCCTCCAGTCCAGCGAGGCACGTGGCAGGTATCACGGGAGCGGCTTGCTTATAGTTAGGGCTGTAACTGTTCTCTGGAGGATGTATTTGATCTTCAGTGCTTCAGCCTACCTCCTTCCCCAATGCTTCGTTTCAGTAAGGGAGGGCGCGAGCTCTTCAAGTTGGGACTTTAATTAAAAAACAAGTGCTGGATGAAGCAAAACAAATGGCTGTTTCATCATGCTCTGGTGTATGCGTTAGACGTTGCCTCACTGAAAGTATTTCTGGGGAGGAGTTCGATGTTCTGATCTGCATTTTTGCCACAAAACATTTGCAGCTTGCTTAAAAGACAAATGACTAACCTCATTATTGTGAAATATCCCAGATAGGAGCCGGGAGGAGCCAGGCACGTACATCGTCTTGACCCTGACTTCCTCCTCCCCTCCCTCAGCAGAAGCTTCTATTCCTTGAGGCTGGGCAAAGCAGTAGTTCCTCTTCATGGGAAGCAAATCTTACATTCAAAGTTGTCCCACTAAATGAAAACTCCTGCTTTCTTTGTAGTTGTGGAACGCGTCGATTCGTGTGCATCAATGTACAGTCGTTCTATCCAAGGCCATCACGTCTGCCTACTGGTAAAAAAGGTGAGAGCATTATAACACTCTGAAACAAGACCTGAGAGAAGCTGAATCTGCAGCCTTTCCTATCTTAACAGAGAGAGGGAAATCATCCAGGGACGCCATGGGCAGTTTCATTCATCTGGCCCATATAGCGGTTTTTGCTGTGCTACCACCAGGCTTGTACCTCCCCGTGGGCTTTCTGTTGCCCAGTGCATAGCTGGTGGGTAGTAGCAGCACCGGTGGCTTCCCCAAACTGACCTTTCAGCTGAGCCTGCTTTGTTCCTGTGCAGGCTCCACTGGCTGTTTCCAGTCCCTGAGCTTGGCTGGGAATAAAACTGTCCCTGCTTAGAAGAGGAGCTAATGGATGTCTTTTTTTCTTTTTCTTTCCAAGGGAGAGAACTCTGTATCCATAGATGGGAAATGTAATGATTCCACCCTGCTTAGCAACTTGTTGGATGAGATGAAAGAGACATTGTCCAAGTGCTGAATATTCCCTATAAAATATTCCAACTACAAGAAACACACCTAACGTGTAAAGACGAGCAGACCCGAGTGTTAAGTTTCTCCCTCGTACGCATGTACTATCCTGGGGCACGTGCTTTTCAGTTAACTCCACCATTGTTTGCAGTTTAGACATTTTAAGGCTGTATGTTACCTTTTTATTTCAAAACTTTTTACAAACTGTGGTGTTAACCCTTTCTAGCCCAAAGAGATCCTGGTGACATGACTGGAGGAGGGAGGGAGGGGTGCTATTTATTCAGCAGCTCATGATGATCCCATAAACCTTGCCATCTGCGAGGGATGGTGGACTAAGCAGAATTTTATCAACAGTAGCACAGAGTCTGTCGCTTGTGCTTATTGCCAGGGAAGGTTGATGTGATCCTTAGCCATGGAATATGTCTCCAGGGCTGCTGTAGTTGGTGTATATTTCTAGCAGAGGCTGGAGCTGGACCTGAAGGCCTCTTTTTTTTTTTTTTTTTTAAAATATGATTTATTATTATTATTATCTCAAGATCTATTGTGATCAGCATATAAACATCCTCCATCTCCTTGAGCTAATCCAAATGAGCCCTGTGAGAACCGGGATGTTTGAGTTTCTGTTTATAGTAGTTGCCTTGAGCCTTAACCTCCTTTTAGTGACAGCTGCAAGAGAGTGAATGCATGAAACACAGGCTGAAAGTGTTACTGTTTGGTTCTCTGCTCCTGGTGGCCACCCCTGCAAATGGAGTCTGTCATGCCTCTCCCCTTTGAGCCGTCTCTGCTGATGGGTTTTACGAGTCCACTTCAATTTCACATTCCTGAAAAGTTCGGGTATGGCAAGAAACTGGAAATCCAAAGGGGTCTGTTCCTGCTTTTTTTTTTTTTTTTTTTTTTTTTTTTTTTTTTTTCATTTTGCTCACCAGCCGAGGTTGACCACTACCAGGTTAGGGAAATGCCCACATGTGTAATCCCTTGTACGCTGAACAGTTTGCAGGTACAGCCCTGTTCCCTCCCTCTGTGCTGTGCAATCAGAGATGTCGTGCTGTCTCAGTTGTCCCCGTAGCGTCCCGTGGCCCTGCCCTCGCAGCAGTGGATGCAGATTTAGCAGCGCAAGTGTAAGTGGGTCCCTGCAGCAGAACTCTCCCTGCCCGGGCGGCAGGAGGGAGGGGTTGGTGAGGAGCTGCAGACTTGGCTCTGTAGCAGGTAAGCAAGGGAGGGTTGACAAAGTGAAGCCCATTCTGCACTATTGGAATTTTTTGGAGTCGCTGACTGGAAAGGGACATCGCCGCATCCTTTACAGAGATGCTTAATTGGTGTCCTGCTCCAAAATCTCTTGCTTTCAATTTTTTTTTTTATTTTTTTTTTTTTCCTTTTCCCCCCAGTTCTTTCACTTGCTGTTCCATACCCAGCAAACTGAGAACACACTCGAATGGTTTTGCTCTGAGCACAGGTCAAGAGCTGTTGGTTGCTGTTCCCAGAAGCCTCCCCAGGGAGGAGCTGGGTTGGTCTGCGCCTCTCTAGCACCGCCACCGCTCCGACGGGTATCAGCAGCGCCCGGTAGAGTTGAACTAAAACCCTTAACGGGGAACAGGATAAAATGTTGATCTTACCCCTTGGGTGAATGTCCTGTACTTGAAGCGTGTGCTCTTTACATTCTTCCCATATTAGGGTATTTTTGCAGAGGCTCTGCTGTGGTTTTATTGCTCGGACCAGCTTTGTATTCAGACCACACTTGTGCGCTGCAGAAATTCCTTTGCAGCAGGCTTCACTGCTGGTGAAGTGGTAGGTTTTGGTATTGGTCAACCTCCCATGGTTAGCCAGTTTGTGTATTAGAAACTGAACATATTAAAATTGTCTTAAAGGATAATGTTCCTCAATTAGTGTTTTTTTTAATTCATGGATGAAAACTGTCACTTTAGCATGTAGAGTCTTCTCTTACGGAATCCTGTGCAGTGATTCTAGACTTTTGAAACTGTATGATGTGTTACATTCACAAATTTGCTATCAACATTCCCTTAAAAAAAAAAAAAAGAAGAAAAAAAAAAAAAACCAACATCCCACAAGCTGCTGTAATGATTTTGTGTCAAGATGATCCAATAAACTTTCAAAACAAAGTTAAATTTTTGGCTTTGTAAATAGACCCTTCCAGTCTGTATGGACCCAAAGACCTGGCATGGATGTCCCCCGGCTCTGATGCTTCTGCCTCTGGGGGGGAGGTAAGAGCCACCTCGTTCCAAAAGCTCTGGAGGAGAGAAGATGTTTCTGACGCTGCTGGGTGGGGTTTTATGGGCTGGGGACAGCGCGGGGGGGGGGAGTCCTGCCAGTCCTGTATCCCTCAATGTGTCAGCACACAGCTCCAAGGTGTGCAGGACACGGGCAGGAAAGGAGGCTGTCGTCAGGGCGGCTGGAGCGATGCTGTTCTTCACCTCTTGTGTTTTAAACCGAGCTGATTCTCACAGGCGCCAAAGCTTTGATTCCTGCACGCTTAGAATAACTCACTGGTCAGGCGGTCGGGTTTTAACACCCCTCTGGGAGGCAGCACTGCAAGCAACAGCCCTTGCTAGCACAAAAATTATGGGGGGGGAAGTAATTCAGAGAACCTCAGTTAAAGCTGCGTTAATTTGGGTTGGGTTTGCCTTGGGGTTTTTGTTTGGGTTTTTTTGCATTGCGATTGCAGCTAAAACCTAAGCGCTTGTGAAACCCGGAGCTCTGGTCTTAATGAGCTGCCTAAAAACTGAAGGACAGAAATCGGCCCCTTCTCTCTCTTCCTCTTGGCCTGGCCTCCAGTAAAATTTGTGACGGAAAGATGATAGCATTAATAACGAAGAGGATTAAGGTCCAGTACTGTCATAAGAAGAACTGAGGCGCTGGTTTTGCTGCTGCTCTCGGTGGTTGCTAGTAAGACCCCAGAACCTGTGCAAATCATCTTTTACGATAGAAAATACGGGGCTGCAATCCCGTACTGGCCTGCGGGGAGCCTGCCTGCTTGTCCTGCTGTGTTGGGGGACTGCACAAATCGGATGAAACGGGATGAAAACATCAACAAACGCCCATCTTACTGCAAATGCATGGGGAAAAAAAAAAAACAAAACCCCAACCCAGGAGGCGCTCGGAGTGCCCAGGGAGGATTTAAGGAGCTGCAGGAGCTTCACGGGACAGTGCAGGAGTTCAGAGTGAGCCCAGCGCCGTGCACTTCTGGCTTGGAACGGCAGGACAGGCTCCTGCCCCGCTCTCTGTGGTTACCTCGGGTCAAAATTCACGGAGCAGCTGGACAAAGCAAATCAAGAGCATCTTTGCACGCAGCGTGTTCCGAACAAGTGCCTAGAAGAAATGGTGCTCGGCAGCACCCTTGCAGCAGGGAGGGTGCCAGCCCAGAGGTTTGTGCTTCCAGCTGTTTCATAGAATCATGGAATGGTTTGGGTGGGAAGGGACCCCTAGAGGTCACCCATCCCAACCCCCCTGCAGGAGCAGGGACACCTTGAACCACATCAGGTTGCTCACAGCCCCGGCCAACCTGGCCTGGAATGGTCCCAGGGATGGGGCCTC